AAAGGTGCTAGTTAATGGGCATTCGAACTTGATCTTAACGTGACAGTGCTGAAACACTTGTAGAATGTGATTGAGTTAACAGAACATGGCGTTTAGCTGTTGCTTAAGCTGCTCATACCTTTCTGAAACGCAAAAAAGTTTGCGGCGCTCTCCGGAATATGTAAACTAAAAAAAACAGAATATGCATCAGGTATACCAATTCTTCAAATTGTAATGCTCTTTGCTGTCAGATTTAGATAGAATCTTTGCATCTGCAAATATCTGTCTGATTTTGAGAGATTTTTTGAGGACCAACAGACATCAGTATACCGCATGAACTTTGAACTGAATGCACATATGAACAGATGGCAATGTCCCAAAGCGATGAGGTGTGTCTTGGATCCTGAACTGGCGGTTGAGGTATTCTTCTTGGCGGCCGGGGACATTCCGGGAACGTCCACGTCTCCGATTCAGGGGAATATTTACGTCCCCACGTTATAAAACAGAGAGAAGTCCACATTACTCCTCAACTCTTTGTATAGTCTAAGGCCCCTGCTCGGCTTGTTGAATCTGTATTCAAATCCATTGTTTAAAATTTGAAAAAAAAAAAGTTGAATAGTCTTGCGTTTTTCGGGTAAGTTTAACGGGCCTAAATATCAACCCTCAACTACGAAACTGTCTATCTGACACTCACAAACCGGGTACATGAAACCTCCATGCCCATTCCAGCTAGTTTTGAGCCACGCTGGCCTCCACGTCGCCCAGCCCGCCTTCCGCGTCAACGCTCAGCACCCGTTCTTATCTCTCTCAGTCGGTGGCGTTCTTCTCTCTCTCTCTCTCTCTCTCTCTCTCTCTCATTTCCTCTCTTTGCATGTTGAGCCCGGTCAACAGAGGGAGATGGCGAGTGCCCGGAGTGCGAGCTCATCCCGGTCAAGCGCGTACAACAATGAACCAATATCAGCATGCTTGTACAACAATAACATTGCACTGCACTGGCATAAGAACCATTAGTTTGGCATATTACAGGAAGTGGCAACCTATAGATTGGCAGCATATTACAGAAAGTAGTAGCCAATGGTTTGGCAGATTACATGACTTTAGCATCCTATTGTCTGGCATATTACATTTCTTAATAGCTTATAATCTATCTTATTACATCACTGTGTGTTGTTTAACACATGTGATCCCCTGGGTGACAATAGAAGATGTGGATGCAGCCTTCTGACTGGATGGTTCCTGGGCCTTAACTCTTGCACTTGCAGTCCCTGATGTGACATTAATGGACACTTTTGCTCTAGCTTGTGATGATGGCAGATTGGCCTCTATATTCATTGAAGTTGTTCCACCAGGTATAGTTGCCACCCTTCCTTGTGCCGTTGATATGACAATTATTTGGTTTGACATCCCAGGCTGCAATTAGTTACCAAGTGAGCAAGCAATGGTCCAATATTTATGTTTGATATTTTAGTACATTAACTTACATTTTGTATTGTGGTTCCTGTCCTCTTTGAGTAGATAATTCCTAAACCAGAGCACTTCTTTTTGCTCTTTGGAGCACTGATATTACTACTTGAAGGACCCTTCCTCTTCCTGCCACTTGTGACACTCTGTTGTGAAACTGGCAAAGGTACCTGTGTACATGCATATTAAGTCACCAACAATTATTTAAATATACATGTCATGGAAAGGTACCTGTGAATAAATAGATGAAGTATCAGTCCATACCATTGCATTTAGTGAGTTCACATGTGCTTGAGATTGGGCTGGCTGCACATTTGATTGAGACTGAGCTGGCTGCACATTTGGTGGAGATGCTCCCATATTTGAGGTTCCACTATTCCTCCTATCACAAGTACTCCTGTTATGTCCGGTTTGTTTGCATCTCTTGCACCTGATAACAGTTCCTCTCTTGGACAATCTTCTGCCCTTTGGCTTCTCTTGAGGTTCCCTCCTCCTCTCTTTTCTTGGTCTTCCTGGCATCTTTAATTGCTTTGGTGGCAATGGTTTTGCCATTTCAGATGTGGGCTAATTTTGCATGCCTTCCACAGGTTGCAACCAATACTCATAAGTCTTCTTGAACATGTCCACTGTATAACAGCTTGCAATGTCGTCATCTAACTTGTTTGTTTTGAAGTATATGCAGGAAATGGCATGACAACATGGCAGTCCAGATAATTCCAATATCTGCAGGAGCAAGTCTTTTTTTCAAGGTCTACTGTCCACCTTTGATCATTGTGTTGCACTTCATATGATTCTCTTCCACAACAAATTGCATGACAATAAGTAGATGAGTTCACAGCTCCCTTCAGTTTCCTTAGTATGTTAGGAGATATTACTTGTTGCCACCTAGCAGATTTATTGATCATACCATGGATCCTAATCATTACTTTGCACCTAATAGCCTCAAGCATACTAATTATAGGAAGATACCTAGCTTCAACAATCCACTTGTTGAAGGACTCACATATATTATTATCAACTGAGTCACAGTTTGACTCTAGTTTCGTCCATGCCCTGCTCCAATGATGTGGAGCTATGTTCATTATTGCTTGTGCTCCTTGAGGAGTCTTCTCAGCTAACTCAGCCCTGGCAATGTTGAAAAGAGTTATGCATGGAGCCTTGGCACACTTTCAGAACATCTTCTGGTATTCCTTCTTCTTGAATTTCTTCCTCCAGTTGGCATAGATATGCCTAGCGTAATTTCTATGCTCTGCTTTAGGAAGCCAAGTCTGAACTAAATTAAGAATTCCCTTTTGCTGATCTGAGATAATGACCCAACCATCTCCATCTCCAATTTGCAAGTCTTTGCATAACAAGTAACAAAACCAGTCCCATGAATCATTGGTTTCTATCTCAACCACAGCCCAAGCAATTGGATAAATTTGGTTGTTTCCATCCCTACCAATGGCACACAGTAGCACACCAGCAGTTGCTCCTTGTAAGAAGCAGCCATCAAGACCAATTACTTTCCTACATCCTGCCAAAAAACCCTTCTTACAAGCATTTAAGCACACATAGAACCTTTAAAACACAGGGTCTTGATAATCTTTGTCTAACTTTACAACAATTGTGCTTCTTGGATTGCTCTAACCCTATTTCCTTCATCCTTGACAAATTTCATAACCTTTCTTTCAGTGAGACCATACTTAATAATTGCATCCTTGAACTCTTTCTTATCACTGAACTTCATTCCTATAACAAATTTAGGAACATAAGTCTTCCTGTCAAACCTAGGAAACATATCTTGTTTTCTAATAATCTCTCCATTAGGACCTTCCTCAAATGATTCATCTTCATCACTAGAGTTACCATATGGAGTGGAATTTCCTTCTACAAGATCACAGCCTTCAAGCTCACCAATTTCATTGACAGGAGCAGATTTAAAAATAGCATCATCTAAACTATTCAATTCACCAGATTTAACCTTCTTCTTGAAATCCATGAATTTTTTGTTGATTTCTTGTGCTTCCTCATCCTCTTCTGATGAACAAAATTCACTCGGAAGGAGGTAATCACTATTAGAACTGTTGTCTATTTCTTGTTCCTCTCCAACCTTGTAGTTGGATAGCTGCACCTCCTATTTTGGCTCCTCTGTTTTGATAGGAGGGGATTGGATAGTAGTAACCTTCTTCTCCTCAATGAATTGCACTTCATCTGAGCTACAGTCACCACCATCAACAAATGCTCTTTCCCCCTTCTCATCTGTATTGTCATTTGCTTCACCATCACTTCTCTCATCATCTGCAGGTGCTTCCAGTTGCATTGACATTGACTCAACAAACACATCTGCAACTCCATTGCCCGTGACACAATCTGACATTAATTGGCACACTTTGTCATCATGCAAGACCCAAAGCCCGTTGTCTAGGTCTTTACCAGGACATAACCAATGCAACAAAATCTCATCTGAGACCACTCCATGATCCCTAAGGTGACCATTAACCTCAGGCAATGAAATTAAATCCCAATCTATGTAAGACATTCCTTCAGATCCACCAATATAATGCATCCTCTTCCCATCAAAGAAAAACTCTCCTCTAAAATGAAATCTAACAGCAATGATATCCATATCATCCATCTAAACTGACGAGAATCTGAGATATACAAAGCACCAGAACAAATCTTAGCCCCCAACCCCATCATGATAAGCATATAGATCTAGAGCATATAGAGAAGGGACTCACCTAAATCGCCGAGAATCTCTTCAAGTCTTACCACATCTCCTTCAGTTTGGTGCAGAATCACCTAATCTTCACCAACGTGAGCTCATGAGCTGCTAGGTTTGGACTGGCGGCTGGAAGGGGAGAGTGATCTGTTCCTCCTCCTTTTATCTAGCCCAAAGCTGACGCGGATGGCGGGCGGGGCGACGTGGAGGCCGGCGTGGATCAAAACCAGCTGGAATGGGCGTGGGGGGTTCACGTACCCGGTTTGTGTAATTGGGGGGGGGGTTCAGATACACGGTTTCATAGTTGGAGGTTGATTTTTAGACTATACGAAGAGTTGAGGGGGTAACGTGGACTTCTCTCTATAAAATAACATTCTAAGCCCCCGTTCCACGTTCCCGCTAAGGTATTCTTTCACGATTATTGTGGAGAAACAAACCACAAATCTAACATTAGAACCGGTTTAAAACCCAATGTTGTTGTAAAGTGCACAAGACAATTCAACAAGTTAGGCCTCGTTTAGATTGGGGTTAGGAATCAGTATTTGACACTGTAGCACTTTCGTTTGTATTTGACAATTATTGTCCAATCATGACCTAACTAGGCTCAAAAGATTCGTCTCGTAATTTACAATCAAACTGTGTAATTAATTATTTTTTTATCTGTATTTAATACTCCATATATATGTCCAAAAATTTAATGTGATGAAGAGAGAGTGAAAAAACTTGCAATCTTAAACAAGGCCTTACCTGAGAAAAGACACGAGACAAACGATCACATCAATCATTGCATAGAGTGAATCATATCTGGAAAACAAGAGGCTTGTTGAGATGAACCGTGAACTCCTGGACAAGCCCCATGGGTCACGACCACGAGATTTCTTCCGCATTCAGGTCCTGGAAAATCCATCCCCGTCCCCGACCACCATCGCACGCAGCAGCCACGCTTGGCCGCTTGGGCAGTCAGTCGGCCGCCTCGGCTTCTCTCCTCCTCGACGACGACGGCCTCGTCGCCGTCGGTCGCCAATTCGCCATGCGCCTCGCTCACCCCGGCCTCAAGCTGCCGCGGCGGCCATGCTGGTCTACCACCTTCTCCGCTACGGAGGCCGTCACGGATGTCTCCTCCGCGGACCGCTTGCTGGCGCTCCTGCGCGGCTGCGTCTCCGCGCCGCACCTCCCGCTGGGCCTCCGAATCCACGCTCGCGCCGTCGTGTCCGGCGCTCTCTCCAGCCACACGGCGCTCCACAACAGGCTCCTCGGCATGTACGTCCTCTCGCGCCGGTTCCACGACGCGGTCGCGGTGTTCTCCGCGCTCCCGCGCGCCGCCGCCGGATCATCGCTGCCGTGGAACTGGCTCATCCGCGGGTTCACCGCGGCTGGGCACCACAGCCTCGCCGTCCTCTTCTACGTCAAGATGTGGACCCACCCCGCCGCGCCGCGCCCCGCCGCGCACACCCTCCCTTACGTCGTCAAGTCCTGTGCCGCGCTCGGAGCGGTGTCCCTCGGCCGCCTGGTCCACAGCACAGCGCGGGCGATCGGGATCGCCAGCGATGTCTACGCTGGGAGCGCGCTCATCAAGATGTATTCTGACGCTGGCTTCCTCAGGGACGCCCGCGACGCGTTCGACGGAATGCCGTGGCGGGATTGCATCCTGTGGAACGTGATGATGGACGGGTACATAAAGGCTGGAGACGTGGGCGGGGCGGTGCATTTATTCCGGAACATGAGGGTGTCTGGTTGCGAGCCCAATTTTGCGACTCTGGCGTGGTTTCTGTCTGTGTGCTGCTGAGGCTGACTTGCTGTCTGGGGTGCAGCTTCACTCTCTGGCAGTGAAATGTGGTTTAGAGCCGGAGGTGGCAGTGGCTAACACATTGCTATCGATGTATGCCAAATGCCTATGCATGGAGGTTGTTTGAACTGATGCCACAAGATGACTTGGTAACCTGGAACGGAATGATCTCAGGATGTGTTCAAAATGGGCTTCTTGATGAAGCATTGGGATTGTTCTGCAATATGCAGAGGAGTGGTGCTCGACCAGATTCAGTTACGCTAGTGAGTTTGTTACCGGCTTTGACCGACTTGAATGGTCTCAAGCAGGGTAAGGAGGTACATGGTTATATTATCAGGAATTGTGTGCACATGGATGCCTTTTTGGTGAGTGCTTTGGTGGACATCTATTTCAAGTGCAGGGATGTGAGGATGGCACAGAATGTGTATGATGCGGCTAGGACTATCGATGTGGTTATTGGCAGTACGATGATATCAGGTTATGTTCTTAATGGGATGAGTGAAGAGGCACTGCAAATGTTCCGGTACTTGTTAGAACAATGCATCAAACCAAATGATGTTACTGTAGCTAGCGTCTTGCCAGCGTGTGCTAGTATGGCTGCTTTGCCTCTTGGTCAGGAGATCCATGGTTATGTTCTAAGAAATGCGTATGAAGGAAAATGTTATGTGGAGAGTGCACTGATGGACATGTACGCAAAGTGTGGCAGACTTGACCTGAGCCATTATATCTTCTCCAAAATGTCTCTGAAGGATGAGGTGACATGGAACTCAATGATTTCAAGCTTTTTGCAGAATGGAGAACCACAAGAAGCTCTAGACCTTTTCCGTCAGATGTGTATGGAAGGAATAAAGTACAATAATGTAACCATATCTTCTGCCCTATCAGCATGTGCAAGTTTGCCAGCTCTATATTATGGGAAGGAGATTCATGGTGTTATCATAAAAGGTCCTATAAAGGCTGACATATTTGCTGAGAGTGCTCTGATAGACATGTATGCGAAATGTGAGAACATGGAGTTGGCTCTTCGTGTTTTTGAATTCATGCCTAATAAGAATGAAGTATCATGGAATAGTATACTTTCTGCCTATGGGGCTCATGGTCTTGTTAAAGAGTCAGTGAGCTTCTTACATCGTATGCAGGAGGAAGGATACAAGCCAGGCCATGAAACATTCCTTGCTTTGATATCTGCTTGTGCTCATGCTGGTCTGGTTGAAGAAGGACTCCAACTTTTTGAATGCATGACTAAGGAATATCTGATTGTCCCACGAATGGAGCATTTTGCTTGCATGGTCGACCTATACAGTCGTTCTGGGAGGTTAGATAAAGCTATACAATTTATTGCTGATATGCCTTTCAAGCCAGATGCTGGCATTTGGGGTGCCCTTCTCCATGCTTGCCGTGTGCATCGCAATGTTGAACTTGCGGACATCGCTTCCCAAGAACTGTTCAAGTTGGACCCTGGTAATTCTGGTTATTATGTCCTCATGTCCAATATCAATGCAGTTGCTGGGCGATGGGATGGTGTATCAAAAGTTAGAAGATTGATGAAAGATAATAAGATCCTGAAGATACCTGGGTACAGCTGGGTAGATGTTAATAACAGCAGCCATTTATTTGCTGCATCAGATAAAAGCCACCCTGAGTCTGAAGATATCTACACGTCCTTGAAGGCCCTGCTTCGAGAACTAAGAGAGGAAGGCTATGTTCCCAGACCAGATCTATGTAACCCCATGCACCCAGATAAAAACACACAGGTGGGTTTTAAAAAGAACAAAAGATTGTTTGATGTTCTATGCACCTTAATTATCTCTTGAACCTAATGAATAGCAACTTTCTTGAATAAAGTGCTACTATTTACTAATCTAAAAGATCATGTTCCTGCCTTGCTTCTGTTCCATAGAACAACAACAACAACAACAACATAGCCTTTCAGTCCTAGTCCCAAAGCAAGTTGGGGTAGACTAGAGTCCAAAACCCACCAAGAGCCCCAAGTCACGGTTCATGCACTTTAATAGCTGCTTTCCAAGTACTCCTATTCAAACATAGATCTCTAGATATATCCCAAGCTTTCAAATATCTTTTTATTGCCTCCCCTCATGTCAATTTCGGTCTTTCTCTACCTCTCCTCATATTATTAGCTTGGCTTAGGACTCCACAATGCACTGATGCCTCTGGAGTTCTTCTTGGCCAAACCACCTCAACTGATGTTGGATAAGCTTTTCTTCAATTGATGATAGCCCTAGGCGATCACGTATATCATCGTTCCGAACTCGGTCCATTCTTGTGTAACCACAAATCCATCGCAACATACGCATTTCTGCAACACTCAATTGTTGAACATGTCGAATATTTGTAGGCCAACATTCTACTTCATACAATATAGCCGGTCTAATCGTCGTTCTATAAAATTTGCTTTTTAGCTTTTGTGGTACCCTTTTGTCACAGAGAATGCTAGAAGCTTGTCGCTACTTGATCCACCCTGCTTTGATTCTATGGCTAACGTCCGCATCAATATCTCCATCCCTCTGTAGCATCGATCTCAGATACCGAAATGTATCTTTCTTAGGCACTACTTGACCTTTCAAACTCACATCTCCCTCCTCATGTGCAGCTCCGCCAAAGTCGCATCTCATGTATTCGGTTTTAGTTCTGCTCAATCTAAAACCTTTAGACTCAAGGATCTGTCGCTATAACTCTAGTTTCCTATTTACTCCCGCTTGACTTTCGTCCACTAACACTACATCATCAGCGAACAACATACACCAAGTGATATCCCCTTTTATGTTCCTGGTAACCTCATCCATTACCAAGGCAAAGAGATACGGGCTTAAGCCTGACCCTTGATGAAGTCTAATTTTAATCGGGAAGTAATCTGTGTTACCATCGTTTGTTCGAACACTAATCACAACATTATTGTACATGTCCTTGACGAGGGTCACGTATTTTGATTGGACTTTATGTTTGTACAAAGACCACAACATAATATTTTTTGGTATCTTGTCATAAGCCTTCTCCAAGTCAATGAAACCAAGTGGAGGTCCTTCTTTTGCTCTCTAAACCACTCCATAACCTGTCTTATTAAGAAGATTGCTTCTGTGGTTGACCTTCCGGGTATGAAACCAAATTGGTTTGTTGATATCTGCGTCGTTCCTCGTAGGCGCTGCTCGATAACTCTCTCCCATAACTTCATAGTGTGGCTCATCAACTAAATTCCCCGATAATTAGTACAACTTTGGATATCTTCCTTGTTCTTGTAGATTGGTACCAATATGCTTCTTCTCCACTCCTCAGGCATCTTGTTTGATCGAAAGATATTGTTGAACATTTTGGTTAGCCATACTATAGCTATATTCCCGAGACATCTCCACACCTTGATTGGGATACCATCAGGGCCTATTTCTTTGTCCTCTTTCATCCTTTTCAAGGCTTCTCTGACCTCCGATTCTTGAATCATCCGCACAAAGCGTCTGTTAGTGTCATCAAACGAGTCGTCCAGCTGAACGGTGGTGTTCTCGTTCTCACCATTGAACAATTTATCAAAATACTCTTGTCATCTATGTCTGATCTCATCCTCCTTCACCAAGAGTTGCTCTCTCTCATCCTTTATGCACTTGACTTGGTTGAAATCCCTTGTCTTCCTATCGTGAGCCCTAGCCATCTTATAAATGTCCTTCTCTCATTCCTTCGTACTCAAACGTCGATAAAGGTCCTCATAGGCCCTCCCATTTGCCTCACTCATCGCCCATTTTGCAGTCATCTTTGTCACATTTTACTTCTCTATGTTGTTTGCACACCTGTCATGATACAAGCGCTTATAGCACTCCTTTTTTTCTTAATAGCCTTTTGCACATCTTCATTCCACCACCAAGTGTCTTTCGAGTCGCATCCGCTCCCTTTGGTCACTCCAAGCATCTCTGAAGCAACCTTCCGAACGCATGTTGCCATCTTCTCCTACATGATGTTTGTATCGCCTTCATCATTCCAAGGGCCCTCTTCAATGACCTTTTCCTTAAAGACCTTTGATGTCTCCCCTTTTAATTTCCACCATTTCGTTCTAGCAACCCTAGCTTGTTTGTTCCCACGAGCTTGCACCAGAAAGCGGAAGTCAGTCACCACCAGCTTGTGTTGAGCGACCACACATTCTCTAGGTATCACCTTACAGTTCACGTATGTTCGTTTATCTCTCCTTCTTGTAAGGACAAAATCAATTTGACTAGAGTACTGGCCGCTACTAAAGATCACTAAATGGGACTGTCTCTTACGGAAGAAAGTGTTAGGTATCATCAGATCAAAAGCTAAGGCGAAGTCTAAGACTTCCTCTCCCTCCTGGTTTCTACTATCATATCCGAAACCCTCATGAACCGCCTCGAAACCTGCACTTGATGTACCTACATGGTCATTAAGATCACCTCCTATAAAAAGCTTCTTGCTATTAGGGACAGTTCTAACCAAGCGATCTAAGTCTTCCCAGAAAAGCCGCTTAGCACTCTCATTATGGCCTACCTGGGGGCATACGTACTAATTACGTTTAAGACCATATCACTAATGACAAGTTTAACTAAGATGATCATATCCCCTTGTCTTCTCACCTCCACCACACCATCTTTGAGACTCTTATCAATCAAAGCTCCTACTCTATTTTTATTTTAAGTTGTCCCTGTGTACCAGAGCTTGAAGCCGGTATTGTCCACCTCCTTCGCCTTCTGCCCCTTCCATTTAGTCTCTTGGACGCATAAAATATTTACACGCCTTCTAACCGCTGTGTCCACTAACTCTCTTAACTTACCTGTAAAGGACCCTACATTCCAGCTACCTAAACGGATCCTAATTGGCTCGACTAGCTTCCTTACCTTTCGCACCCGCCGAGGTAGTGTGTGAAGACCCTTGCTCATTTTGCACCACACCCGGGCGCCGATGTGGCGCGCCACTAAGGATGCGACGACCTGATCCTTGCTCACTTGACACCGTGTCCAGATCGTGACACGGCGCGTCACGGGGGTGACGACCCGACCCTTGCTCATTTAACACCATACCCGGGTTCCGACATGGCGCGTCGCTAAGAGGGTTACGCCCCAACGGGATTCTTTTGGGTTTCATCTCCATTAAAGTGGCTAAGTTTTTACATTGGCTCGCTGCGCCTATCACAACCCTCCTCCTTTACCAGGGCTTGGGACCTGCTATGCTGGGACACCAAAGGCGCCCCACCATAGGCAGAGTTTGCTGCTGATCCGTGCAGAAACTTAAATTTATTCAGATCAGAATCATACATGCCATTGAGCCACTAACTGTAGGTAGTTGTTATAGTACATATACAAAATGGCAGCATTTGTTTTCCCTTCAAGAAATTTGTTATAGCAAATGGTCATAGTGGCAGCATCTTATGTTTTCCCTTCAAGTAGTATAAAAACTAGCTAAATGGGAGTGTCATTCTGGTAGATATGGTGTGTCTCCACTTGTAGTATATGTTTTCTATCGTGGAACAACAAAGCCATTTTAATTAGTCTACTTTGTTATGCTTTTGTGTAGTCTAGACTCTGTAGGTTAGATATATTTGTAAGGCATATCCATGTATAACCGCAGCTGTTGTCTCCATTGTGACATTAAGTTTGATCCTTGTATCATTATCTTGTTGAAGGTTCTGGCAATATGATTGGTCCCACTGGCTGTTGAAGAGCAGTATGTGTAATTGTGTATGCAGTTCGACATTTACATAAGAAAAAAGAAGTGGTGAGTATAACTTGTGTGCAACTTCGTATATTAGATTATTCATACTCAGGCTGGATGCCAGGCCTCCTTTTTGGTGCTAATATATGACGACTGAACTTGGCCATTCTCATCTGTAACAAAGATATAAATGGAAGTTATGAGCAATAAAAATTCCAATTTTTCTTTTTCTTCTTTTTAAACTCTTCTAAACAAATTGAAATGATTCCATGGCATGTGCACATGTCAGGTCAGTGCTGTCCTACATTTCTTTTGCACTGATAGCCCTTCATACAACTCTGCAAGCTCTTTCGATTTATGGGCATAGTCAATGGTGATAGCTTTCTGTGTAAGCTGTTCCTGCATTCTGTCTTGGACTTGTGCAGTACTTCATTTTCTATCACACTATTTTCCCCAACTCTTTTATGTTATCTGATGAAGCAACATGTATACTGCGTCCTGTAGGGATATGCCTATTCTAAAGCATTAGAAACACACGGAAGACCAAGGCAAAATCTGTGTAAAGATATTGGCATTTTTACGGAGAAGCTTAACATAGTCAGATGTCTTCCTGTGAGGCTGCAGTTATGGTGTTGCTGCTTCAGTTGCAAAGTTACAAGCATGCACATTATTATTGAATCTGTAATACTGTGTTAGATGATCAGCTTTGGTACGCAAATCTAAAAGATCCTATTCCTGTCTTGCTGCTGATCCATGCACAAACTTAAATGTAATCAGACATAGGAATCGTGCGTGCCATTGGGCCACTGATGTAGATAATTGTTATAGTAAATGAACAAAATGACAGCATATGATTGTCCATCAAGTAATTTGTTATAGCAAATGTCAGAGTGGCAGTGTTTTCCCCACAAGTAGTATAAAAACTAGCTAAATGGGAGTGTCATTCTGGTAGATAGGGTGCATCTCAACCTGTAGTATGCATTTTCTGTCTTGGAAAAACAAAGCCATTTTAATCTAATTAGGCATCAGTCTACTTTGTTGTGCTTTTGTGTAATATAGACTCTAGAATATACTAGGTTAGATACATTTGTAAGACATATCTATGTATAACCGCAGCTCAGCTGTCATCTCCATTGCGACGTCAAGTTTA